TTTCCATTATCCCTATAAACCCCCAATATACTACAGTAGTTTCCTTTTTCTTTTCCATTATCCCAATATAGCCCCAATATACTATAGTAGTTTCCATTCTATTTTCCATCATCCCAGTTTCTTACCCTATTTAAGTTCCCTAAATCCCTATATTCCCCCAGTTTCCATTCCATGTTCCATGTTCTTTTCCATTTGATTCTCCATTATCGGGGGATAATAGCCTTCAACCCTAATATAACCGCAATATACTATAGTAGTTTCCATTTTCTTTTCCATTATCCCAATATTACCCCAATATATAACCCCCAATAAAATCCCAGTTTCCATTTCATTTTCCATTTTCTTTTCCATTTGATTCTCCATTATGGTAGTCCATTTTATTTTCCATTATCCCAATATAGCCCTTATATACTATAGTAATTTCCATTCTATTTTTCAGTTCCCTAAATCCCTATATTCCCCCCAGTTTCCATTTCATTTTCCATTTTCTTTTCCATTTGATTTTCCATTATCCCAATATTACCCCAATATACTAGAACCCCAAACCGGGCTCTTGCTTTGGTAGCTGATCTGCTGTCCAGGCACCCAGCCAACAGGCGTGGCTCTGGCGGGAGGGCGCGGTTGGCACTGCTCCCTTATGAGGCTGATGAGGCTCATGGTTTTGGGGTTCTAGTATATTGGGGTAATATTGGGATAATGGAAAATGAAATGGAAACTACTATAGTATATTGGGGGTTTATAGGTTGCATGCCTGAGGCTGGTGCAGGGCTCTGTTTTTGGCTATCAAACAATGTCGGCTTTGTGTCATGCAGCTGACGGCCTGATATGGCAGCACAGATCTTCTCGATGTCCATGTCGGTTGCCGGGCTATGCTCTGCAGTGGCAAGGCAAAGCTGATTGCCATTGCAGAGACAAGGCAAGTTGGCAAATGAGCTCGCAAATGTGCGAAGACTGCTGCTGCTGCTGCATCGGGAACAGTTTGTTTGAAATGCATGCACTTAATTAGGCGTGTTTCATTTCGTGCCAAAGCATGCTAGTCTAAAAACTAGGTTGCTGACAGCGATGGCAGTTTGAGCACTAGCAGCTCATGCGGATTTCTGCATTTCTGCTGCCCACCAGACTTAAGGCAGTGCCGGAATGCCCGGGAGATGAACCGTCAACAGCTTCATCCACAGATGCCTCGCTGGCTCGGTCGGGCTGCGCCGCCGCTCGGCTGGGCTCCGAGGCAGCCAGGTGGAAGAGCGTGTTGTCTGAGAGCGGCTTTTCAGAAGATCAGGATTTAGCCCCCTTCAGCTCATGATATGATGATGCCACGAAAACGATCGAAAAAATGCAAAGAGAACTCACAGACTGACTCGTTTGAGTTTGCAGGCTGTGTCGAATAAGTTAGACTCCAGGCACCGGAGGTGCAAGGGCATCCTCAGCATGCCATCCAAAGATGATCAATCCGAATGTTGCGATGGTCCCGCTTGAAAACATGACTTCCGACAAAGTGAGAGGCGCACAATAAACGGGCAGGAACCCATCTGGGTAAAGAAAAAAAAGAGATTCAGCGAAAGAAAGGCAAAGTTGTCCAACCTGCTTCATGTTCCCCACATGCCCTTCAGCAATCACGTCAATACAAGGGCCGGCCGCACACACGGGCGCCCATTGCTTGAGGTGCGCGCTCTCTTCATCAATCAAGGCCTCGGTCTGAGGCCTAGAGCATTGCGCTGCGCTGTTCAAAGGCTAGGCGATAGGATAGCACGCCCGTCAGCTAGATTGTGTAAGTCTTTGGCTGCGCCATGCGGCCATTTGTCCAGGATGGATCGCACCTTTTCTACCTGTCGAAACCAACACAGTGGACAAAGCATGACAAAGCAACCCGATC